GCCAAAACCTGTCCTTTTTCATGGAGAATATAACACCGCGCCCCCCCCCCCTCCCACACACACACAGTAAAAATGAGTAATAACGTTCAGGCAAGCACAACTCAAAATGTAAGGCGGGCCGTAATACTTTAGACGAATGCAGGGAATACAAGTCAGATCGACTAAGCAATAATGGCTTTTTTTAAAAGTGGAAAACGCCAAAACCTGTCCTTTTTCATGGAGAATATAACCCCGCGCCCCCCCCCCCTCCCACACACACACAGTAAAAATGAGTAATAACGTTCAGGCAAGCACAACTCAAAATGTAAGGCGGGCCGTAATACTTTAGGAAAAACGTGTGGAGACCGAAAGAAAATAGGACCGGGGCCCCCGGCTATTAAGAAAATAATAATAATAAAGAACATTTCGTTACTTCACTGGTCGCAATGTGGGTCGCAGGCGGGCTGAGTGTGGCCTTCAGGCAGTATGTTGTGCAGGCCTGCCATTTACGATAAATACGTGACTTACATTGGAAATAACGATAAACTATCCACTATTATTAATGACTCAAATACTGGACAAAACTTATTCGAAATGTAAATGTAATTTTTAATTAAATTTAAAAAGTAAATCAGTGGATTTTTTTCCCGTTCAGGTGTCATTATAAATTTCATTTCGTAGCACCTGTGTGGTGCCAGATTAGCTTAAATGCAAATGAGGCATGTGCCTCTGGCCCGGAGCCTATTAGGTGCCCCCCGACAAGGGCTCTATATAGAAACCCAAGAGTGCCGTCCGGAGGGTCTCACCCTTTAAAACCTCTTGAGGGGCACAATTTCGACTTCCTAAGGACTTGAATAGATATTACTACGGCACTGCTGGATGAAAAGACCAAAAATTTAAAACTTAAATTTCAAAACATTTTAAAGTGCTTGTCCGTTTGTGATCAATACATAGTAAGTAGTAAGATTACCGAATTGACTTACCAAGTAAAAAATAATCTGATTTGATCACTGAGTTGGAGCAATTGGATGCATTTGATGATATCATCTTTGACAACTGTTGATATATGAAACTTAAGTAGCCAACTGACAGATGTCTTAAACAACAGATTGAACATGATCATATAAACAATCCACCCAGGGCTGGATATCAAGTTAGCAAGTTAAGTTAGCAGCCAGGGGCGTATGTACATAAGAAATTATAAACCAATATTTACAATATTATTTTGAAAAGCGAAAGTGAAAGAGAAATAATATATATTTTTTTAAATATTTAAATATATATCCGTACACATTAAATAAATGGAGCTGCAAAATCACTTTGACTACCTCCAATGTTCCCTCTAAGGTTTGTTGTTTCGTGTGCAAAATCATACAGTTTTTTGCAAAGTTTTACAGCATCGATTTTTTTGTGTGCAAAATTTTACAGCCCACAAACACAAACACTCAATTACATGGAAATTTGCTGCGCGGATACTCAAAACTGCTGCGCGGATACTCAAAACTGCTGCACGGATACTCAAAACTGCTGCGCGGATACTCAAAACTGCTGCGCGGATACTCAAAACTGCTGCGCGGATACTCAAAACTGCTGCGCGGATACTCAAAACTGCTGCCCGGCGTCTTTGAGATAGCTGCGCGGCCGCGTATAAAGGAAAACCAAGTATAAAGGAAAATTTCAGAAATGGCAATTCAGTAGTGATTCCAGTTCCTGTGGTTCATTAGGCTCATATTGTTCAGACTTCTACATATCTGCTGACAGTAGGTTCGTAAAATGTATCGTTAATACTTTTATGTACTGTTTACTCTTGGGCCGTGAGCTTGAAAGACTCGAGCAGAAAAATTGGAAGCAGGTTTAGCAAGTTCTCCGGGCTTCATTCAATGAAACAATTGAAGAATGGGCATGGTCAAAAGAACGAAGGAAGAATCTTGTTTCAAATTTATTTGACTACTCTCGCACCTCATAGCAATTGTTTTACAAAGTCTCGCCTCCACTCCACCTAAGAACTGTTTTACAAAGTCTCGCCTCCCCTCCACCTAAGAACTGTTTTATTAAGTCTCGCCTCCCCTCCACCTAAGAACTGTTTTACAAAGTCTCGCCTCCCCTACATAAGTAACAGTGCATTTTAAAACTTGATAAAAACAGACTCCTAATGTATTGACTTAATTGACTTGCATAGACTACAGTAGAGCTTAGAAAGTAAAGTTAGTAAAATGACTAATTAAGTAAAGATAAATGTTATTAAAGAATGTTTACAAATATATCAACAATTATTAATATCACAGCTTAAAAACAAATAAAACATCTTTTCTTCTAATCAATTTTTCTCGCATTTCTTTGAAATGACACATCGCATCCCCTGAAATAACACCTTGCATCCCCTGAAATGTCACCTCACAACTCTTTGAAGTGACACCTAGCATCCCTTTGAAATGACACCTCTCATCCCTTGAAATTACACCTCTCATCCCTTGAAATGTCACCTCACATCCTTTTGAAATAACACCTAGCATCCTCTGCAATGCCGCCTCACATCCCCTGAAATGTCACCTCGAATCCCTTGAAATGTAAATTTTCATCCCCTTGAAATGACATCTCGCATCCCTTGGGGTTTCGAGCACTCCAGTTTGGGAAGCCCTGGTCTAAGTCAATACAAATAGATACCCAATTACCGCGCATTTGCTGGCAATCTCACTCCAAAATATTATTTATAAAAAATGTACACGAGTTAGCGTGAGCATTCTTTTAATTGTTCGTCTGTTTTCAACTTCTTTAAGAGATATTTCCCAAAGTTCCAGTGAAACTAGTGAACTGCAATTAGGTACACATTGCAATCCCACTAAGCATAGCAGAGCCTTGATTTACCGATAATACAATTTTATTGTAAAATATTAATTTTGCTTTCAGGGAATATTAATATAATTAAAATTATAATTATTAATACAATTACATACATGGAAAGAAAATGTTTTTTAACTATAAGATATTGGCACGAAAAAAGGGCAATTTTATCGTTGACATATGTAACGACTTAATTATTCTCTAATAAGTGAATATAGGGAGATAGTATATCCATAAATCATAAATGTGGTATATTATTGGATACTGGTGCACAACAATCCACATTGAAATTGCTCGCAGGGGCGGCGCTAGGAGGGTGCGGGGCCTTGGACTATTTGAATTTTGCGGGGCCGTTGACGTTATATATTCCGCCGAGGGGATATTAAGACACGTTATATAGTCGTACTGGGGTCTTGCTGGATATTAAGACACGTTATAGTCGTACTGGGGTCTTGCTGGATATTAAGACACGTTATAGTCGTACAGGGGCGTTGATGGTCATAATGGGACGCGTCATAGCGGATATTTGTTCACTCGCTTAGTTTCCGAATATTGTGTTGAGTGGATTAGGAACTATTAGTAGGCTTAGATATATTATAAATATATTACAGCAACGCGCGGGGCCCCGCAAACGTATGGCCTTGGGCGATAGCCCACTTCGCCATCCCTTAGCGCCGGCCCTGTCGCTCATAATTCATGATACAATGAAGTGCCTCCGCAACTGTATTATAAAGGCCAAACATGAACTCTATGCCACCTTAAGAGGTAAGTTGTGCAAAAAATATGAAGGAAAAAAACCAATGCTTTCGCTGGCACATTTGTCTTCCCCGGTGGTTGCCTAGTGTACGAATAAAACTTTGAAATTATGATTAACTCCCGTGCCTGTGTATAACAGCATATCCTACACGAACGTTGGCTAAAATAATATCTATTGACTCTTAAACTGAAATAAATAGGCCTACCTTTATTTGGAATCACAGAGATCAATCGAAGGAAAATCAACACAAACTTTTAACGAAAGATAATTTAAAATTATTTAAAAAAAAAACTGTTCCATTTATATTCTGATTTCTTTTCTATGACTTATCTCGACCACCGTACTTGTCAAAATTAAATTGACATGAAGCATGTGTTTAAACTAATGTATTTACTCTGTATTGAAAAATACAAGGCTATTCACACAACACATTTTTTACTGTTGATAAGAAATTCAAAGTTCAATTATTCACATAACACAATCTAATCAGCTTATGTAATGGAAATATGAAACCAACCAATCAAACGTGTTGCTCCCGAGGGAATACGAGGGAAAGTGAAATACAGCACACATGACTGTATGATGGCATGACACAAGGGCGTAGACTGCTGGACATGGCACAAACGTTGGCGGCACCGTCTATTATTATTGGAGTTATTAAAATCCTTATGTTATTTAATTATAGAATAGTTTTAAAAGCTTAACAGACCCCTTCAGTGCTCTATTCTGTAACTGCTCGAACAAAAGCAGACGAAAAAATGTTCCAGAGGGGCAATAATTAAGATACGCACAAATCTTTCTATTTTTGATATTCCAGAAATTTGATGTTGTTGAAATAAATACATATTAAAAAAAATATCTTTTATTAATACTAACGCTTGCAAATAATTTAACATTTGTAACACCACCATTGATAAGAAGACAGTCAGTGATTGATAGCAAGGCAGTCAAACATCAATTGTACATCAGACGCTGGGGC